CATCCTGCAGACCTTTGAGGTTCCTGCTATCAACCTGGTTCTGGAACCTTCTCCGCTTGCTCTCTTGTGGCCATTTGATTGAGCAGAACCCACCACCAGAATCTGTCCATAGCTGGGTCCTGAGGCCCTGGAGCTATTTTTGAGAGAATAGATAGCCAAGTCCCTGGGGACCAAGACAGTTCTGCTTGGTCCCTGCTGAGCAGAGAAGAGACAGGTCAGCTTTATGTGTTTGCATAACAGCCTGAGTGTTGCTAACAGCCCCTTTGGGGACTATACACCTCAAGCATGGGATGTGGGGGTCACTGCCCATTCACAGTGGGAGGTGAGGGCAGTTGGCTGCCTTCCAATCCCAGTGTGGAGTAGGTGGCTTGTCCTGTGGTGTGGCTGGACAGTTTTACCATTGGCTTCCCCTTCCTGGCCAGACTGACCCCAGCAAGGGCCAAGCAGAGCACAGAAGAGGCCAGGCAGCCTGTTGGTATGGATACAGTTCAGCTTGGGGGGCCTGTTCAAGAACGTGGGGTTTCAAAGATGACCTTCAGAGCTGCCTCGGCTGGTACCAGTTCCTTCTGAGAGGGTGAAGTGCCAGGGCATCTGTTGCTCAGTAGCACCTGCAGCCCTTTTCTTTTTTTGCACGGTCTGTGGCTGGAGACCATGTTCTTGGGGATTATTTCTGGGACAGTGAGACTTTCTGGAATTGGCAGATGTGAGGGTCCCTGCACTGATCTGGTCCCCCACCCATCCCCAAATTACCAGCTTCTCTCTCCTAGGAGAACAAAGGGTCCGTGGAAATCATGAGAAAGGACTTGAATGATGCCCGGGATCTGCATGGCCAGGCAGAGTCGGCGGCTGCTGTGTGGAAGGCAAGTGGGGAGCAGGTGGTGGGCTTGGGATCTTGGTGGACTTGGGTGCCAGGAATAGGCTAGGCAGCTGCTGGGCCTGCTTGGCTGAACCTTTGAGTGGACTGTAGGAACTCCAGGGTGGCTTTCTAGATGCTTGAGGATGTTTTCCCAAGTAAAGTCTAGCCAAAGCAAACAGGGATTCACTTTTCCCCCACATTTTATGTGTAGTGATTTGTTAAGTATCCTGGCTGCTGGAACAAGATACTAAAAACTGGGGGGCCTGGAAATCAGACATTTGTTGCTGCAGTTCTAGAGGGTAGAAGACCAAGGTCATGGAATTTGGGGGAATGCATCATTCAGTCCATAGCACTTGCCTCTGCTCTCTGGGGCCTTACATTGTTGTCCCCCAAGGTGACCGAGCACTATAGTTCTTTTCAGTCAGTTGCCAGCAGAACTACACATTAACTTGACCTCTCTTAGGTGGTTTTTCTTCTTATGTATTAAAATCTATGACCATTTTCTCTAGGTTTCACAACTTTTTTTAATCATGTAGAAACAAAGCACTTCCGAAGACTGCAGAGGTTCTGAAGCTCTCGGACATGACCAGTCCCTTGAGGCAGAGGCCACCTGTCCTGTCCAGGGGTAGTGTTCACTGCTCTGGGTCAGCTCAGCCCTTGCTCCCTGCACAGAGCATGAGGTGGAGATAAAGGGGTGATCTCTTCCTGTTTACCATAGAGAGCTGTGGCCAATACTCTCACATCAAAAGACAGGCTGGCAAGCAAATAGCATGGCATGTTAATTTCATCTTGGCTTCACATGATGTGGTACCCTTGAGCTTGAAGAATCAAGAGATCCAGGGTGAACTTCCCATTTTTATGCTCAAGTGTGATGTAGCAGGGGCAGCAATGCAGAAATAGGTCTAGACAGAAAGGATGTGCAGGTAGTATTAGTAGGCTAGTAGTGATAGGCTGGGGAGCCCTGCAGGCCTGTTTGTGCAGTGTCCTATCCTCCCAAGTGTGGGAAGGACCTTCTGAAATGGATCTTACGAACTACTGTGAGCTGGGCAGATCAGAGGATTTCTCTATGACCAGTGCCAAGACAGAGTAGAGTACTATTTTTAGGCTTTATGGCTTGCTTTGGGGAAGATGGGTTCTAGTTTCTAGGATCTGCATTGAGGAAAAGAAATTCTATTTCTGTGTCCTGCCTTTGGGAAGACGGGTGAGAGAGGAGGTCAGAGAGTGGCTTTGCTTCCAGGCTTGCACTGTGGGGTAATCATCTTCTAAGCCTGACTCAACTCCCTTGGACAGTGGCAGAGAGGTGACAAATGGAGCATTTGATGCCTGCTGGACCTCTGGCAGCACACACCACCCTCTGGGGTCAGTCTGCACTTTGTATTCTAAACAGTGCAAACTGCAGAGTGCTATGATGCTGCCTGGCCCTTGGGAGCTCCAGCTTCTCAGTGACCCTGCCGTCCCAGAGGACTTGTTTGACCCACAAGTTTCAGCAGCCTGGAACTTTCATCTGACTTGACTTAGGAGAGGGTGGTGGAGGCATTGAGAGAATTCTGAATTCAAAGAAAGGACTTTGTGGCTCACCATGCTGGCCGGTCAACAGGGTCCTGCTGGTATTTGTATTCTCTCAGCCATAGAAGCATTTGCCCTTTTCAACCACAGGTGGCCAGGGTGGGAGTCCAGAGCCAGGTTGGAGACGTGGGTGAGGCTAAGTAAAGTCAGTGTAGCTTCTTTGCTCCTGTTTCTAGGTGAGGTACTGGCTGAAGGGTGGCCCATGGCTTTCACCCCTGGTGCCAGGCGAAGTGCAGCAGGGAAACTCACCAGGAAGGTGGGTGTATGTCCTGAGGCCATTGAGGGTCATATGCCCACAGGTCACAGGCTCCTTGGCTCTGGAGTCAGTTCATCTTCAGATGTAGCCCAGTGCTGAGCCCCTGGAAACCTGCATGCTGCCCAGCTCAGATCAAAAGTGTATCTGTACCTAGCATGCAGATGGTCTCTAGTCATTATTCCTGAACAGTACAGTTGAAAAACTATTTCACAGTGTTTAGGCTGTATTAGGTATGTCTGAGGATGAGCGCTAATCATGCAAATACAATGCCATTTCATAAAAGACCCTTGAGACCCAAGAGTTTGTGTCCTGAGGGGCATCTTGGAAGCAGTCCCCCAAAGACATTGAGGGAGAAAATTCCCTGCTCTCTTAGGGTCCCGGGCTGAGCCTGAGAGTTGAGATGATATAAGATAGATCACAGAAGAGCGTGCACATTCATTGGCATGAGTTTTATGTGTCATTGAAGCTGTTGGGAGGAAGTGAAGATCTTAAGAAGCAGAGTCGCAACATCCCTGTACCAAAACGGATAAAGAACAGCAGGCTGTGAAGCAGCCGAGTTGTTCAGCAGGCAGGGGGATGAGTTATTTGACAGGGTCTTTACAGAATCCTCTCAGCCTCAACCTCATCCTCAAAGATAAGAACATCAGTACTTTGATGAAGGGAGAGTGTGCTGCTTTTTTTGTTTTAAGAAAATACTCAAGCCCAAGTACTTTTTAAAGATAAGAGGCTTACTTAGCTCACCTTTCTGGGGGTTGGAGCAACCCCCTGTTTGGAATCTGGTGAGGTGGTGGGCAGCATCCTCTTGGGAAAGCTCAGTCAGTCTTGCCTCCTGACAGCTTGCTCTTGCAAGAACCACTGAAGTTCTGTGAGACCAGCACTGGTGCCTGCCTGGCCAGGGCCCTAAGTGGCCTAGTGGGCTCCTGAGGCCCACCACCTCTACCTTCCCATGTGGAATGTTGGGGGAGGTGCCTAGACCCCGGCAGAGGGCACCTTTGCCATGGATTCTCATCTGCTTTGAGAGTGTGGAGGTCAGACAGTCTGTCGCACCTGGGCCTTTGATTCGTGATGTCTGGACAGCCCATCTTGGGGTGTCGTATTCTCAGCTCTTTTTAGAGGGCACAGATTTCTCCTGGCATTGGGAAGGGTGGGACAACTTTCTCATGGGGGCCATGGAAGATGGGTCCCTTCTGCCACCTGCCCACCCTGCAGGGGCATGTCATGGACCGCAGAAAGAAGGCCCTGACTGACTACAAGAAGCTGCGGGCCTTCTTTGCTGAGGAGGAGCAGCACTTTCTGCAGGAGGCTGGGAAGGACGAGGGTGTCCCAGAGGATGAGCAGGCTGACCCAGCTGAGCGGTTCCAGTCCTTGCTGCAGGCGGTGTCGGAACTGGAGAAGAAGCACCGCAACCTGGGGCTCAGCATGCTGCTGCAGGTATGTGCAGTGGGGCTGGGTAGCAGGAGGCCCAGGTCCCTGGAGGGGGGGGGTGCTCAGAGAAGCCCAGAGCCATAACCTGGATGGCCAGGCTGTGGCCTCCTGGGCTGGACCTCAAAAATGAAGAGGTGGTCAAGGACAATGGCATGAGGGAGTTTGACACTGGGGAGCGCACAGTGCATCATCCCTAGCCTTTGAGGGTGGTGGGGGTGTTTGTATCACCGATATGGAAACATCAGAGGCTGGCCCCATGCTGAGGCTTTGTGACACTCCTTGGTGTCAGCCCTGAGGCCTGGACTGAGCCTGAGACCCCCAGCACTCCCTCTGGGCCTCTGCACTTGGGTCTACTGTGACAGAACCTGAAGCTCTTAACTGCGAGGCCTTGGTTTTCCTCCAGCAGAGGTCAGCCTGTTCAGCCCAGCTGCTGCAGTGACCTGGTGATGGGCTGTGGCCTTGGGGAGACAGGGTTGGGGCTTGGTGTAGGGGGGGCCCAGTCACAAGATTCTGGGTGGGTTGTGCCCAGGACAGTAGTTGTCTGTCTCTCTGTCTATGTCTCACTATCTATGTCTTTCTGTGTATCTCTATCGCCTTCTTGTCTCCCTGTCTCTCCCTCTGACTCTCTTCCCTTCTCCCCTCCCCTGCAGTGATGGCACTGGCCCAGCAGGTGGGTCCCCAGAGTGAGAGCAGAAGGCTCTACCTTCCACACCTGGCCTGCAGCAGCCCCACCTGCCCCACCCCTCGGTCCCTCTTCCGGGCATCACCTTCCATCCTGGACGGATCCTCAGCTCCACTGGCACTGACAGTGCTTGGGCGTGGGGTGAAGCATTGTAGGTGCCCATACCTTTGGTGTGCATCTAGTTCCAAGTCTCAACAAAGTGTCATTTCAATTTTCCCCAGGGCGTGAGTATGTTCAGGGATGTGCCAGTTCTTATCAAAAGCCAGCCTTGGGACACACTCCCCAGTGTGTCCCAGCCCTGGCCTTGTTGTTCCATGGTCCTGTTCTCCAGCTGGCTACGGCTTGGGGCCTGGTGTGTGGGCATCTGGCATCAAGGGCACCAAGCACTGCACCATGCCTAGGGCAGGCTGCTCTGTGAACCTTCTTCCCTTCCAGGGGGCTGGACACCTTGGCAGGGCCCTGGGACACACCAGGAAGGTCACATTGAGGGGTTAGCACCAGGGATGCAGCTCTTGGGGAAGAGAAAGTAAGTGGAGTATTCTCCACCCTTCCTAGATTGCCCTTCCTCCCTTGGGGTCCTGGCAGCTCTGCCCTCCACTTCCCCTTCCTGTCCCCTTCCTTCCTGGCTTGTGGCCCTTGGTGCTCACAGACACCTGAACCTTCCTGGCCCCTCACCCCTGGAAGGCCCGTTCTCCCCAGGGTACAGGGGGCTATGCCAGCCCTCCAGCCCACCCCATGTTCCACCTTGCTCATCTTTGGCTTCTTGCTTCCTGTCTCCTCTGATAGGTGGATTTCACAAAACTCGTGACAGAACATGTGGTGTAACAGTAGCGTGGTTGCCCGTAGCATTGTGTGTAGATTAGTCCACGTGACAAAACCCAGACCAAGTGAGCAAGAACAGGAGGTCAGGGTGTGCAGATGCAGAGCAGCTAGGTTTGCCCCAGTGCATGAGTCGGTAGCTGGGTTGCTGTGAGTGGGGCCCGTTTGGGGAGGAAGTCCCTGGCCTCAGGTGGGCTGACAGTCCAGCCTACCTGTGTGGGCCAGATTCTGGGTGCCGAATAAAGTGGGTTTGCTCCAGCCTGTTTGCTATGTGTTCCTCCTCTGGTCTGTGTGTCTGGGTGGCCTCTTCTCTTGCCCCTGACCAGTCTCCACTGGGGGAGAAAAGTTACTCGTTGATACTGGTTAACATAGGGCAGACTTCACTCAGCACCATCGAGATTGCTGACTGGCTTACTGCAGCAGGGTCTTCTGGTGGGGAGGACAGTTGGGGCTCCACTCCAAGCACAGTGAGTGTGAGTAGAAGCTGATGGCCAAGGTGGAGTGTCCTGGGCTAGAAGGTGACTAGGAACAGACACAGGTAAGGGGCTCTAGCTGGACCCAGCTGACAGGATTCTTGCTATAGGCAGGCCAATGATCAGACATCACCTAGGGGTGGTGGGGTGAGGAACCCTTCAGATACCCAGGGTGGCTGTGTATCCAGGGTGGGGTTCCCTGTAGCCCAGAGAGGGAAGCCACAGCCTCATGGGTGTCAGAAGAATGGGATGAGGGGTGGGAGGCAATGGGAAAGCAGCCTTCCCCCTTGAGATCTCTGCAGTCTGATGGTGTGGGGGGTGGATGTGGAAGTCAGAATTCTTAAGTCAGTTGTGGGGTGGAAACTCTCTCCTCCCTCTCACAAGTGGCAGATGTAAGGAATTCTGAACAGACTAGAACACACTGCCTTTTTGTGTCATGGAAAGAGTGACTGGTTCACCCTGATTCTAAATATTGACCTTGGTAAAGAGCCTAATGAACATCCCTGACTGGCCCCTAAGATGTGTGATCAGCACTAGGAGTTCCCAGGGCCCTATCCTCAGGCCTCCGTCTCCAGCAAGGCCAACTGGATCTTGGAAAAAGCAGTGCTTAATGAGAAGGCCTCCAACCTGCATCCCAGCTGCCCCCTGCCAGCCAGGCCTGAGGCCTCTCCACATAAACCTGAGACAGAGAGACATCCACATCTGGCTCCAAGAGAGGAATGCACAGTGTGGCTGGCACAAGAACACCTCCACTCTACCCCATCTCTTGCTCAGCAGAAGGCTCCCTTCTGTCCTGTTCACATCAATGCCTGTGCCCAGTGAAGCCTGGCCCTATCCACACCTTCTAGCCTCTGGGCCTCCCTTGTCACCAGGCCCTACTACATCTGGCCCTTGGCCTTCTCACTGTGGGGGAGTGGGCCCCTGCCCGCAGCCTCCCTGTACTGATAGCCTTGCCCTCAACTACACCAGTGGGGAATGGGCCTTCCTCCCTTGTCTTTAGATCAGACTCCCACCCGGTGAGGGCTACTTGTAGTGCACAGTTGCCCCTTCTCACTGTGTCCTCCTGTGGCAGGGTGGCAGGGGCTCCCTGAGTTCCCTCTGGTCTGGTGAGAACCTGGTCCCATCAGAGGTTCCAGTCTCTTAACTTTACCCCCCAAAGGCCTCACCTCCTAATGCCATCATGGGGTGGAGAGGATTTTGGCATAAGTTTTGTGGCATCACAATCCATACCCAAAGCCCCAAAAGCTCAGGTTCCCAGGGAGAGGGATGCTTCAACTCATGTCGGTTTTTCAGTAACAAATTGTGCACCCACAATGGTTCCTCCCTGGGGGCTGGTGGAGATGAGGAAGTGGCTGCCCAGCTCCAGCTTCCAGCTTTTGCTGCTGGTGCAGAGGGTATGTTACTCCCAGTGTCTGGCAGCATCCCTCAGATGAAGGGCATAGTGACCTGAGGACCAGCAGTCCCCACCCCATGGGTGTTACATTCTACAGGCATCCACTGCCACACACCCACAAAGGTTTACATGCTTGGTGTCCCTATACTGGTTTGGGTCAGGCATGGTGGATATCCAGTGCCCTTTGCCGAAAGGGTGGAGGGTGCAATGGAGATGGGGACACAGAGGTACTGCAGCCTGGGAATAATAAGATAAGCCAGATGTGTGCCACATGGGTACCACAGAAAGCATGGAAATGGGACCAGACTTAAAACGTGCACATATAACAGCTACCCATGGCTTGAAACAGTGGAGCCCAGAGGACTGGATGCCTGTGGGACAGGAATAGTGGAATGGGTTAGGGTCATGAGGGGAATGATGGGAATATCAATACAGAAGAGGTGGGGAGGGGCAGGGCTGTCCATGATCATTGCTTTGTGTGGGAGGACACTAGGCTCCAGTTCCTGCCTTTCTGTTTGGGTTTCTGTAACTAGCACCCTTTCACATCTTGGGAACAAAATCGGTGAAAAGAACCATAGATGTTTCTGGAGTATTATAGTCATGTACATATTGGGAAAGGTTCAGGCCATATGACAGTTCTTTTGTATCATGACATTTCTTTTGTATCCACAGGGATGGGTTTCAGGACCTGTGGACACTAGGTGCTCAAGTCCTTTTTGTTTATCAATCCCACACATCCTCCTGTGTGCCTTAAATCATCTCTAGATAACAGAAATATTTAATGCAATGTAAGTGCTGTGTAAATATTTATTCTACTGTACTATAGAGGGAACACTCACAAGAAAAAAAAATAATGTTTGCTAAGTACACTTCCCCCGCCCCCTGAGTGTTTTTTGATCTGTGTTTAGTTGAACACACAAATGTGGAGCCCACAGGTGGAGGACCTTCTGTACTTGGAATACTCCATCGAAAGGAAACCAGTTCAGCATTCAAGACCCATATGGGTTTCTGGCAGTGCCCCTCATTCAGATTTCAGATAGACTGCTCTCAGCTTCCCTTGGGAACTTCTCAAGAGGCTGTGCCCTTGAGCACATCCTTCTCATCTCAGAAGACTGGAGGCTGTGTGTGAAATACGAGTGAGCTCTGAAGATCTCTGTCAGGCCTCCAGGATGGGTCAGCTGCCCCTGTCCTGACAGCAGGTCAGCCTAAAGACCAGCCCTAGCCTCTGCCCAGCATTTTCTCAAGGGAAGGTGGGGGGCCACATGATAAGCAGAGGACAGCTGCCAAAACCATGAAAGTGAGGCTCCAATGAGTTGTGGGGTGGGCAGGGGGAGGTGCCCCTTGCACCTGTGTCTTGTGTAAAGGGGCTGATTCCCTCAGAGACTTTCACTCAGTTTGGAGACTGAAGACCCTGAAGTCTTCCCCTGCCTCTGGAAAGATAATCTTTTGGACTTTGAGTTTATAATTAAATTTTCATTCATTAAGAGGAATGTGCTATCAAGACACTTCTATTTGGCAAATAAGTATTCCATTTGTAAATGAAGAAATGTCAACTAAAAATGTTGCCACTGACATAGCCTAAGAGATTAAGTCAACCAGTCAGAATTAAACTCAACGGACAAAGGAGGATGCTGAAGTACTATTTATAGGACCCTTGCTGGTACAAACAAGAGTAGACAAGTTTTAAAAACACTGTCAGGAAGCATAACATGTTAGTAATAGACACATGCCTCACTGCTCCTGTTTGCAGAACAGCATGTCTTGTAAGAGTTCAATTCTACGCGGATCTGCCACTGAATTTGTCTTGTGACTAGGACCAGTATGTTTTCCTGTGCATAAGCAACTTCTGGGTACTTTCCAAGATTTCTTTCTTAATTATAAGATTGATACTCTCTGTACTAGGCTTTGGAGTCCTTGGCCATTAGACTGAGTGGGCTGCAGGGTGTGTCTTTTTGCAGTCACCAGAGCAGCCTGGGCCTCCCCCGTTGCACCCTATCAAGCCCCTGGCCCTCAGAACCTCTGGCACTGGCCTCTTACCTAGGCCCAGGCCTCCCACCCAAAGGATTGCAACTGGTAGAGTCAGCACCCACCTGTAACCCTAAAGGGATGTGGCCAAACTGAGACTTGACAGACCTCATAAAACTTGGGAGTGTGAGCAGGTGTGATGGTGCACATCTGTAATCCCAGTGGCTCAAAAGGCTAAGGCAGGAGGATCGTAATTCAAAGTCAGCCTCAGCAACTTAGTGAGGCCCTCAGCAACTCAGTGAGACCCTGTCTCTAAATAAAATATTAAAAAAGGATGGGAATGTGGCTCAGTGGTTAAGCTCACCTGGGTTCAATTCCCGGTAATAAAAAAACAAAACTTGGAGTTCGAACCAGGAGTAGTCCAGGATGCCCCTCCCCACATACTCCACCTTGGGAAGGTGACTGCTTTGAGCTAAAAGGCACTTGGAAAACCGCAAATGCAGGCAGAAGCTTTCCCCAAACTAACCATATCTGCCCGGGGGAACTTGGCATCAAAGCAGTAGGCCTCTCCAGACTTTCCGCGAAGGTGAACTCAGACCACAAAGACCAGAATTCGACGCCGTATCAACTCCAGCGTCAGGAACTATTCTAGTTATTCCTGCTTACCATTTCCTGAAAGTCCTTTACTCTGTCCTGGGTCGGCCCCTCTGCTTTCCCCTAAGAAGGAACACAAGCGCCTAGATCTCGCTCTTAGGAGGAGCATTCGCCTTTTCACACGCACCTCTGTGTACCTTTTCCCCAGACTCTGCCCGTTCCAATTACCCAACCTCGGCGGGTAGCACTTAAGGAGCGCGCTGAGGCGAAACGCCGGCTCCTCCGCCTTCCAACCAGCACAGGCGGCACGGAGATTCGAGCGCGGGGAGCTTGCTATCCCAAAAGCCGCAGGCTTCCGAGGCAGGGAGGGGCCCAGCAGGCTGGGTGCGAGCTGAGGCCTTCAGGGCTGTATGCAAAAGAGGCGACTTTCCAGGTCTTGTCTGATTGGACAAAGAGCTCCACGGAGCAGCCAATGGGACTCCAGGGCTGCAGAGCCTCTTCAGCCCATTGGTGGGTACCGCATCCACAGCCCTGTATAATAACAGTTGGGCAGCGAAGCTTTTGACGGTGTAAGCAGCCAGTCGTTGCTACTGGTCAGTTTCTGCCGCGCTGGTTTCCTTCGGCCTCTTCGCTCTAGGGTCTTAGCGCGCCACCGGAAGGGCGTGGTCCTGGCGTGCACGCTTAATTCCCTGCGGGCCTGGAGCATCTGCTGCCGCTTTAAGCGTGAGGGTGCTGGCGCTCCAGCACCCGAGGACCCAGCGGCCGCAAAGACATCCTTGTCGCCCCGACCTCCAGCTGCAGGGCGCGTGACCATCGCGCAGATTGCCGTCTGACATCTCGGCTGGGAGAGAACACGGAGAGCCACCACAGGGCCGCTGAGGTCGTGCCGCCCTCGTGAACTCCTTGACAGACACTAGAGTCTCTTTTCAGAACCACTCTGTCAAGGGGGGAGTCACTGATATATCGTTTCTCTTTAACCCCATTTGGGTCATTGTTCCTCTGAAGTCCTTGTGTGGAGGTCGGCACCGGAGAGGTGCAAGATGGGAAACTCTGTTGGCCTAAGCAGGTTTTCCAAACCTGGTCCACAGCTGTGAGCTGCCTGCCTTAACCAGTCCTTTCCCTTATGGTGCCCGCAGGCATGGATGGTGCTTTGTAGCAGGTAGAATGCCTTTCTTTCCCCAGGTGACCTGGCAGCCCAGGGATGGCCACCAGCACTTCCCTGCTGAGGGAATCCTTTCCTGAGCAGAAGTCATCCCCAGGGGAAGGCACATGTGAGAGTCTGTGGTATGTTAGCCTGTGCAGGGACTTAGCTGGGAAACAGGCACATGGGGAAAGGAGCCAGTCGGCAAACAGGGCTCAGTGCCAGATGCTGTGGGGCTGGATCCTCCTGCTTCACTTAGGCCTCTGTGTGGAACCTCTTAATTCTGCTTTGGTTCCCTGATCCTACTGGAACATAAACATTGATTAACTGGCCTCCTTTCCCCATGTGTTTGTGAACTACATGACTAGGAATCTTAAATAGTTGGAGCTTTCTGTCTGGCACAACTGACCCCAGTGTCTTAGCAGTCATGGATACTCTCTCAGATTTCAGTTGATGATTGTTACAGTCTGTTCTGGTTATGAGTCGTGGGGCACAATCTGGGAAGAGAAAGGGAAAATGAAAATTTGCCAGTTTCCAGGGTGTGTGTGTGTGTGTGTGTGTGTGTGTGTGTGTGTGTGTATGGTGTGTTCACGTGCACACATGAGAACAAAAGGGTCAGTGTTTTTAGCAGGACACAGAAATTACTGTTCAAGCAACCTCCTTCTTTGTAGTTGACCTCTGATCTCTGGCCAAGCAAATCTCTGAAGTCTTCCAGAATGTTCCCTTCCTCTAGGAAGCCTATTGACGAGCTCAGAACAGGTACAGTGGCTGAGAAGTCTCTAGATACCTATTAGCTGGTCCTGGGAATTAGCTCATAAACCTTAAGAACAGAGAGCAATTGAGTGAGCCTGAGAAAAGGAGGGCACGGTGTGTTAATATGCCAGAGACAGCAAGAAGGCCCAGCAAGACTGCAATGGATTCCAGAAGGGCAAGGCTTATTATACGTGGTAAAGGTGGTGGGAGGCACAAACGTTTTTCTTAG